ATTTGGGGTTAGAGTTCAAATCTTTCCTCTGATGCTTACTGCCTATGTGACCTTGGGCAAATCATTTGAACTTCCTGGGCCTTGGACCTATCCTACTCCCCCCCTCCCCAGATTGTAAATTCCTTGAGGGCAGGAGCTCTAACCAGCCCCTTTCCCGTTGCTAGATCCATGAGCCCCTGAAAGGGTCATAACGAAGGCCAAGTTCAGCTTCTAGTCCAAAGACTTGATTCCTTGCCCTAGCAGGGCATCCCTTGGTCTCCTAAAAGGATCAGAGACTTAACCTAGCTCCCTTTCCATTTTACAGAGGTGCTTTCGGGACTTGCCAGAGGTTGTAAAGGTTGCAAACACCAGAGGCAGGGGTTGCACTCAGGACCTCTGACTCCAAATTTGGGGTTCATTCCACTGTGCCACACTGCCCCTCTGTGCCTTGGGAGACACCTGCAGATGAGTTGGAGAGGTAAATCCAGCACTCCGGTTGGCCTGTCTGTCTCTCTCATTTGTACCCAGGAGTCTGTTTCATCGGCTAGGGTGTTTGTTATTATGTAGCCCCAGGCAGCTGTACAGATGTATCCGTTGTTAAGATATTAGAAGACACCCTGTTTTCCAGAGCTAAGGCCCAGCATGTAAGCTGTGTCCTGAGCTCGGCATAAATAACAACAATCCTTTGCACTCACCCTCTGGCAAAAATCACATAATTATTGTATTGCTTTGACCAGCACAAGGTGTTCTCTGCACTCGGATGAAAACTGGACAAGCTTGGACAAGTACCCATGGCCCGGCCACAAAGCTCTGCTGTGAATCAAACTTGTCTCACTGCTGCTGTTCCCTCTCAGTGTCAGGAATACAGCTCACTGTGCAACCACTGGTATGAGTATTGAGATGTGCTGACACTGCTTTGGGTCCCCCCACTAGGGGCGGGGCCCTGGCACGTGTGTCTAGATCCCTCCTTGCCTGTAAGCTGTTTCCCTCACTTTGAAATTAAACTTCCGTTTGATTCCTGATTCTCCTGTCTCTAGCCTGCTCTGTCCGGCTCTGGCCATCCACACTGTCTATTTGGGATGCCCTAGTAATTGCCTGGAACTTGTGCCTGATATAAGCCTAAGTCTGAGGATTGAGCCTTTGCACATAGAAACACCCACCTGGGGCCCCCCAGTTCACCCCATTCCTAGGCATTTGGTCACCAGAGAATTTGAGTGGTGCAGAGATAGTGTGGATGACTCCGAGGACCCTTCCTTGGCTACCTTCAGTCATGGAACCTCAGTGGTTCCATGCTGGCTAGAGAACAAGAAAAGGAATGAAGAACTTCTGGAAAGCTCTCTAGCTTTCCTGTCTTCCTATTTCAGCCATCTAAACATGGCCCTTATTTGGGAAAAACTACCAAGAGGCCCAGCAGAAATCTGGCTATGCTACCATGGGATCTACTTCATGTGAGCTACTCAAAGCACTTACTTACCTTTCTATAGACAAACTTTGGCATCTTCCTTTCCAAAAGTGAGTGCCAGAGGAGGGAGATGGGAATGAATGGGTGGCAGAGGTTGGGACAGGAAAGCAAGAGGAAATGAGAACAGATTGAAAAAAATGACTGGTAAATGACCATCCCTTGGTCTGGGCAGCCATAGGGACCCAGGGGGCAGCAGGGTGTGGGCTCACCTCAGAGCTGAGTGGGAAAGTCATTGTGCAAATCAGACTCCACTAAAAGCTTTTAAAATGCTCCAAACCCTGGGGGATGGAGAGTGAATGCTGGGGTATGGAAGGTCAGTTCCAAGTCTTTGTCTTTGGGGGATGGGGTGAGTTGAGATTTAGAGCTGGGCCAGGAGATTAAATTCAGAACAAAATCTTTCTTCAGGCACAGCCTAGCCATAACTAGGTATTTTTGCATCCAGGACGGCTACCAGAGAGAGTCCTTAGGTTGGCAGTATAAAATGTGCCTTCAGTTAAGGAGGGGAGTGAGGAGGCACAGAGTGCTGCCCGGTGGATGTCAGATGGGATCATGTAGAATTACCTCTCCACATCATCCCATCTGGTAGCTTCCTATTTTAACTCCTTGTTCTTGCTAACTAGGTGCTAAGATTGGTTGTTTCTACACTGAAGAAATTCAGCAGCCTGAGGCTAAGCCCAGATTGTTCTTCCTAGTCATGACTCAGGGCTCAACTTTGCCGAAGTCTGTTTCAGAATAGACACTGACCACGACAATAGAGAATGTCTGCTATGCTGCCTACCCCAGCCCGGTCCTTAGGGGTAGCAGGGTCAAAAAGAGGGCACCATCTCTGTGTCCCATCTGTGCCTTTTCCATGCCCTGCCTTTCATCCCTGGAAAGTGCCCTGGGAGACACCAGGGAGAATCACCAGAGGGTATTAAATCCCAGTTAGCCTGAACTGACTCTGTCCTCTCTGTCCAATTCAGGCCTGACTCCGAGGTCCCCTTTCCCTTCTCCCCTGGTCCCCTTAGCCTAGGGGACAGGCCTTAATTTCTTTTTTTTTTCCCCGTTCCTCTTCCTCCCCCTTCCTGCTCTACACATTTTATATCCCAACCCTTAGTGCTTGTGGGTGGGAGTGGGGTGGGGGGGGAGGGAAGGATTTGGGATGGCTTTGGCAGGAGCTAGCTGCCTTAGCTTCCTCTCCATCTACAGCCTGGCTCAAGGTACTGTCTGGGATCCTGATCACTATCTTGAGATTACCATCCTCCTTCCTAGTGTCAATGGTCCAATGCAAAGAGTGTTGGATTTGGAATAGGACTTGGGTTAGAATCCCACCTCTTCCATTTATGCCCTTTATCACACAAGTCATTTAATTTCGCTGGACCTCAGTTCTCTCATTTGTAAAATGTGGGGGTGGACCAGATGGCTTTTAAGGTCAGCTCCCAAGGATTCAATTACCATCTCTATGCAGTAAACATTCATTAAGTACCTCCTATGTGCCAGGAGATGTGCTAAACACTGGGGATACAAAAAGAGGCAAAAGATGGTCCCAGCCCTCCAGGAACTTGCAATCTAATGGCAGAGAAAGCAAACCGATATATGCACAGTAAGCTATACTGAGGAATTCTCAGATCTGCTTTTCCTGCTTAAATCTCTCTACTGAGCTCCAATCTTGCAGCTCCAACTGCCTTTCAGACATCTCGAGCTGGTTGTCCAGTAGACATCTTAGAACTCAATGTGTCCAAAATGGAACCCATTATCTTTCCCCTTACACTCTTCCCTCCCCGCCCCCCCATTACCGTAGACAGCAACACCATCCTTGCGAAGTCTAGGAGTCAGCCTGGGTTCCTCACTCTCTTTCACCCCTCTGCCTCCCCCCTTACAAGCTATTGACAAAGCCTGTTGATTTCGCCTTTGCAACACCTCCTAAATATTCTTCCCCTCTCCTCCACCACTACCCAGGTGTAGGGCCTCATCACTTCACACCTAGACTATTGCAATAGCTTGATGTCGGGTTGGCCTGCCTCAGATCTCTCCCCATTCCAATCTGTTAAAGAGTTTCCTAAAGCACACATTTGATCATGCCACACCTCTCCCCTACTCAATAGATGCTAGTGGCTCCCTATTGCCTCCAGGAGCAAATACAAAATGCTTGATTTGGCATTCAGTGCCCTTCATTACCTAACCTCTGTCTTTCTAGTCTTCTTACACCTTACACTCCCAGTACTTTTTGATCTGGTGACACTGGCCTCTTGGCTGTTCCATGAACAAGATATGCCATCTCTTGGCTCTGGGCATTTTTTCTGGCTGTCCCCCATGCCTGGAATGCTTTCTCTCCTCTGCTTTGACTATTGATCTCCCTGGCTTCCTTTAAGTCCTAATTAAAACCCCACCTTAGTAGAAAGCCTTCCTCAACATCTCTTAATTCCAATACCTTCTCTCTGTTAATTATTTCCTGTTTATCCTCGATGTAGCTTACTTGGTGTATATTTGTTTGTATGTTGTGTCCACCATTAGACTGTAAGCTCCTGGAGGGCAGGGTCTGTCTTTTGCCTCTTTTTGTATTGCCAGTGCTCGGCATGGTACCTGGCACATCGTAGGTGCTTAATAAATGCATACTTGTTCATTGATTGATTCTAAGGTCCCTTCCGGCTCTGTATCTACGAGCTTATGACCTTAAGAGGAGAGAATGGATAAAGAACCATCCCAGAATCCCTTGGGGCCCTGAAAAGTGTCAGGATGGCAATCCCTTCCCATTCCACTCACCTTCAGCTTAAGTCCCTGACTCTTCCTTTCCCCATTTAGCTAGGGGCCTTAATAGTAGTAATAATAGGGGCAGCCAAGTGGCACAGTGGATAGATCACTAGCCCTGGAGTTAGGAGAACCTGAGTTCAAATCTGGCCTCAAACACATGATACTTACTAGCTGTGTGACCCTGGGCAAGTCACTTAACCCTGACTGCCTCACCAAAAAATTTTTTTTGAAGTAATAGTAGTAGCATGTATATTGTGCCTTAATGGTTTTTTTTTTTAGTGCTTTAATGTTTGCAAAGCACTTTAAACATTTTATTTCATTTGATCCTCATAACAACTCTGGGAGGTAGGTGCTATAATTATTATCCTCATTTTACAGATGAGAAAACTGAGGCAGACAGAGGTTAAAGTGACTTGCCCAGAATCATACAACTAGTGAGTGTTTGAGATGAGATTTGAACCCAGGTCTTCTTGACTCCAAGTCTGTTATTTTATCCACTGGGCTGCCAGGAATGGTGTAAAGGGAGGGAGAGTAAGGGATACAGAAAATTCTCCCTGAGTTCCTCCCTCACCCCTGGATTGAAGGAAGAGTCTAACCAGCCTCCCACTCCCTATAGAAGCCTGGCTGTCTTGTCCAGAATGGAACAAGACACGGCCCTGGTAGTACCACAGCTGGCACAGGTGTTGTGGGGTTCTGCTCCTCAGGGGCACCTCCTTCTCCTCCCCCCACTGCCTGAGGTTCATTGAGCAGGAAGTAGTGGGTGCCCCAGGAAGGCAGGCACACACACACACACACACACACACACACACACACACACATGCACACATACCTTGGCTTTACTGATGGTGCAGTGAAGGGCATTGTTTTCCTGGTCGTAGAGCAAACTGAAGTCTAAGGTCCCCAAGGCAGCTGCAAACAGACAAGAGCATTATTAACTCTGGCCAGGGCACACGGGGACAGCTCTGTTCTTTCAAGGAGAAATAAATACCGGCATTGCAGCCTACAGCCTTCTTAATTTATCTGGGGTGGGCCGTGTACTGGGAGACCCACACAGAGAAGGGCATTATTCTGGGGGAGCTCATAGCCTGACAGACCCACAAATGCAGCCAATGCTGAGTAGACAGGATTGACAAGAGGACCAGAGCTTCAAACAAGATACAGTTATCCCTTCCACATCAAGAGGGGGGGGAGGGAGAGTTAGGGTGTGGCACCCCTTCATCTGGAAAATCTGTGTGAAAATTTTCAGCTCTCCCTTCATGCCAGAGAAGAAGTCTGACTTTTTTCTTTTTCATTAATGGGGTGTTTATAGTACCTTATTAGACAATTTAAGTTAATATTATATAATACCATATATATATATATATATATATATATACATACATATATATATATATATATATATATATATATATATATATATTTCTTTTTATGCATTTTCTGTGCTGTTTGTTGGCCTTTGCCTCTCGTCTATGGCTTCCTCCAAACTCCCCCAAAATTCCCATTTAATTTCTTAAGCCAACCTGAAGTATAACAAAACCAAGATGGGAAAGTCTCAGCATGGAAGGAGTAACTGTATTGCCTTCCAGGCTATTCAGCCCTCATACTCAGGGTGAGAGGTAGCTTGGCAGAGTGTTTAGAGAGCCAGTCTTAGGGTCAGGAAAGCTGGGTTCAAGTCCCTTGTTCAACACATACTGGCTGTGTGACTCTGGGCATCACCCTCTTCTAGATGAAGCACAAACACCACCACCATCATAACAGAGGACGTAGCCAGTGCAGAATAGATGTTTGTTGAATTAAATTGGAATGAGAGCAGATCCAATCTCTATGCCCTTCCTCCCCTGTAGGAAGCTTCCATGGGAGTCTCCAAGGGAAGCACCCTCCTTTAGGGAGTTGGAATCAGCTGAATAAAGCCCTATTGCTTTTGGTATCATTGGTCTGCATCCGTTCGAAGTGGGGATCTCTCCTAAAGCCTAGCACAGCCGTCCCTCTACCCCCTCAGGTGTTAACAGTAGAGTCACTCTCCGAGGCAATCCTCCAGCATTCCCATGGCAACCATCTTAATTCAGGCCCTCCCTCATCCCCTCCCACCTGGCTGACTGCCACAGTCTCCCCATTGGTCCCTCTTTCCCTTCCCCTCTGACTCTGCCCTTTGACCCCCTGCTTCACTCCATCCTTAAAGCTGCCTCCATGGTCATCTCTCCAGGTCATTTCTGTCCCATGCCTCCTCATCACCAACTGGACCAACCATAGCTCATCAGCCTGGCTTGAGGGTGGCTGGCCCCATACCTCCACTCCCCTGTGTGAATCTCTGGTATAATCCTGGGTTCACAGACCCTAGCTGCAGAGATGGAGGGCACCTCAGAGGTCATCCAAACCCCCTTATGTTATAGATGAGGAAACTGAGGCTCAGAAAGTTTCAATGACTTCCTCTATTCATGCCCTAGAAAGTGGCCAAGGCAGTTTTGAACTCAGGTCTTCCTTGATTCTAAATCTAACTAGATAGACTCCTTAGAGAATGAATCATTTTGGGTAGCTAAGTATCCCAGGAAACTGTACCTTAGCTCTCTTGAGTGCTACGATGGTTTTTCTTTCCATTTGGGGGTGGACATCTTACTAATATGAAATATAGAATGAACTTCCTAGCTTCCTGAAATAGAGAAAGCTGAAGCAGAGGTTCACTTTTTCTTGATAATTTGGGTCCATCATTGTGAATCTCAGTCATTATGTGGGGCTGTAGGGTAAAGATAATGAATTCTGGCCCTTGTCATGGGCTGCCAGGATAACACCCACAGTCTCCTAGTCCATCTTCCCGTCTGCCTTGTTACCCTCATTCTCACCCTCTCCTCTGTCCAGCCAATCTGCTCTCCCAGGCTGGTGAATCCCCCTGGGGCACGGATTCAAGCACATCACAAACCTCTGCTCAAAACCCTTGGATGAGACAGGGTGGACAGAGTAGTGGACCTGCAGTCAAGAAGAGCTCGGTTCAAATCCTACCTCAGGAATTTACTAGTTGTATGACTCTGAGCTAGTCACTTAATTTGTGTGAGCCTCAATTTCCCCATCTGTAAGATGAGAATAATAATAGCACCTACCTCCCAGGGTTGTTGTGAGGATAGAGCATGCATAAACACTTGACAAATCTTATTAATCAATCAAGAAGCATTTACTAAGCACCTACTATGTGCCAGGCACCTTAATTCAATGTGGGAATGCTAACTTTTATTATCTGATGATTTGAGGAAAGACAGCATGATGTAATGGATAGAGAGCCAGCCTTAGAATCAGGAAGACCTGGGTTCCAATCCAGCCTCAGATATTTACCAGCTGTATGATCCTGGCCAAGTCGCAACCTCTGTCTGCTACAGTTCCCTCAACTGTAAAACAGGGATAATAGTAACACTTGTCTCATAGGGCTGTTGTGAACAACAAATGATGTATTTGTAATATGTATGTTATTTGTAATTTGTAGTGAGATATCAGCACAGCAGCTAGCCACATAGTAGGCACTTTACAAATGATTATTCCTTTCCCTTTCCTATCTTCACTCTACTTTTACCACATACAGCAATGATCAGCCCATCTTTCTCACCATCCCCTCTATGATTCTGAATTCCAAAATTCCTCTCTTTGATCATAACCACCAGCTCTTCTAATCTTACCTCTATATTATTCTCCATAAAAATATCATAGGTAGCCTAGTTATTTTTATTCCCATTTCACAGATGAGGTAACTGAGGCTTAGACAGGTTAACACTAATAGCACACATTTATACATCACTTTAAAGACTGCAAAGCTTTTTATACATGGCATCTTACTGGATCCTTACAACCCTTAAAATGCCTTCCTTTGGTTTCCCCAGTCCATTGAGTCATTATCCTATATCTTTTTTTCCTTTTATGGCCAAATTCTCCAGAAAAAGTTATCTATGTTTGCAGCCTCCACTCCCTCCTTCCCTCCTTTGTAATCTGGCTCCTGACCAGATTGCCTGAAATCATCCTCTCCACATTTACCAGTGATTCCCTTAGCTCTTAAATCCCATAGCCTTTTGCCTATGATTTTGACTCTAGTGACCAGCACTTCCTCCTCCTGGAAACTCCCTTCTGCTCCGGCTTCCTTTGGCTCTGAGAACGCTTCTTCCTCCTTCTTCTCTTGTCCAACTTCTCCTCCATCTCCTTGGCTAGGTCACTGTCCCATCTCCCATCCCATAACAAGAAGGATGCCAAGGTTCTTCCTTCAACTCTTTCCTCTCTCTTCATTCTCTCGGGGATCTCAGCTGCTCCCAAGGCTTCAATTTTCTTGTCTACCCAGATAGTCACAAATCTATATGTCTCTCCTGAGTTCCATTCCCTCAGCAGCTGCTGCCTGGATCTTCAGGATTATAGATTTAGAGAGGAAGGGGCCATTGGAGGCCCTCCAGTCTAACCCTCTCCTCATTTTATGGATAAGAAAATTGAGTCCCAAAGAAATCAAGTGACTTGCCTAAGACCACATAGCTGGTAAGTGACATGTTGATAGATGTCTCACTGGTATCTCAAACTCAACATGTTCAAAATAAATTCATTATATTCCTCTTCCTAAATCCCCCTTCCTCCATCGCCATCTAGGTAGCACAGTCAATAGAGTAATGGATTTGGAGTCAGGAAAATCTGGGTTTGAATTCTACCTCTGACACATTAGCTGTGGGACCCTGGGCAAGTCATTTAACCTCTGTTTGCCTCAGTTTCCTCAACTGTAAAATTGGGATATTAATAGCATTACTATGAAGCTCAAACAATATAACATATGTAAGCCTTAAAGTGCTATATTAATGCCAGCTATTATTATTATTATTATTGTTATCATCATCATGATTATCATTATTATTTGACTTGGTGCTAGTTGGGATGTTTACTAGATTAACTTATCCACAGAAGCTTCAGGTGTGTGTGTGTGTGTGTGTGTTTAGCACCCAAGGTAGGGGGTACCTCCTCCAATCCTATTGACTCCCAAAGTCACTGCCCAACCCACAGTAGCAGTAGCCACAGGAGTAGCTTCTCCCCCCAAAGGAGGTGCTACCTGGTGCACTGGATGGTTCACTGGACTGGGAGACCTTGAGTCTGGTCCCAACCCTGTCACTAATGAGCTGTGCCCCATGGACAAGTTACTTTCCCTCTCTGAGAGCCTGTCCCCTCCTCTGTAAAATCAATTTTTTGGCTCAGTAAATGTTCATTAGATACTTATTACACGCATGTAGGAGAGGAGGCAGGTCCTTTCCAGTTCTGATTTTCTTTGATTCTAAAGCAGGGTCTTCACTAGGAATTCTTATACCCAGGGCAGATTCAGTTGCAGGAGGATTAATAAACCAAACTCTAGCTGAGCCTATTCTCCAGCAGAGGGAGTCATGACATGAATCCAAAGAGCCGGATTGTGATTACCCATTCCAGCAATGAAAAACAGGCAAAAAAAGGCACTTCTAATCCAGCTACATAAAACATCTTCAGCTAGTGAAGAGGTCTGTGTGCCAGCTTAGACAATTAAGATCCGTCCATCCCTTTATCTATCTGTCTGATACATATCTGTCTTACAGAGGTAGGCTGTCCTCTGTATAACTCCCCCCATCCTTTCTGATGACTTTTCCTTCAGTGCAAGAATGAGGGTGTGGTGGTTAGGAAAGATCTAGGGCAGAGGCACCAGTAGTGAGGGACTTTGGGAGTGCCAAGGCTAGTGGTTCAGGATTAGAAGAGTGGAGGTGGTTGCACCTCATGAGGACAGTAGGCAGGAAGGAACCATGGGGGTGGGGTGGAAAGCATGCATGCATGCCTTTTCCCAAGATATCAGCACCCTGGATCTTTATCTGTTCACCTTGCCTTAGTTATGCCTCTCTTGTTTTTTTAAAAATTGTATTGTATCTTTTGTTTTTATATTATCT